CTGGCAGAATTAATTGCATTAATGTGCAACTTAGAGGATAATTAGAAGCTTGTGCCTAGCTTCCTCCAAACTTCACCTTGAGTGCCTTTTCCCTTTGCCAGGCTCTTTGTATTCTTTTGTTCTGGAAAATTATAGGCATAAGTACAACTATATGCTGAGTCCTGTGCATCCTTGCTCACCTAATTTGGGAGCTAGTCTTGAGAACACCTGACATACTCTACCTATGAATAAGGTAAAAATTTGAAAATATATCAACATATCTGCCTGTGAATGTTGCCTCATCTCAGGGTGTTAGAAAACATTCCATTCACTTCCAATAAGGTAACGTGATATAAACTAGAGGTGTACTACAAAGTAAACTTGCCCACTAAAATAGCCTTGCTTAATACACGACAATAATTAAAATGTTAATGAATTAATCATTCAGAACAGCAAAATCCATACTATTTTCCAACAACAATAAAAAAAATCATCTGAGTTTGTTACTGTTACAAAAACACAATTTGAATATGGTAAATAGTATTCCAAATTATTTTAATAGCACTTGTATGACACAGAGTCAAATGCAAAATTACAAATAATAAAAATTAAGACCACTTAAAGCAATCATTTCTCTCTCTATTGATAAAAACAACCTTGAAGTAAATGAACCTTTACTCCTCCTCCAGAACCCAAATCATTCTACGAACTCGCCTCCTACATATGAGTACTGTCTGATGGTTAATCTCTAGATCTCTTTAGAGAAATCTGTCAATGCAATAGGAGCAACCTTAAAAGAAAGCTCAAAAAACTTATCTGAAAAAGAAAAAAAAATTCTCTAAAGTTGGATATATTCTCTAAAGATACATTAATCAGGTATTTTAAAAACTCAACGCTTTCATGAGCTCCCAAGAAGCTCCAAGATCATGGAAAATATGTCTCTACTAGTTCTTGAAAGATGATAAAATAATAAATCTCAAGAATAATAATTTATAATTTAATTAAGAAATTAAACCTGGGTGTAGTGGCTTAGGCCTGTAATACTTCCACTTTGGAAGACTAAGGCAGGATGATTTCTTGAGGCTAGGAGTTCAAAACCAACCTGGGCAACATAGTGAGACTCTGTCTCTACAAAAAAAGAAAAGGCAACAACAGAAAAAAAAAAACAAAACTTTGTAAAATTAGCTGAAGGTGGCAGTGAGTGCCTGTTGTCTCAGCTACTTAGGAGGCTGAGGCAGGAAGATCACTTAAACCCAAGAGGATGAGACTGCAGTGAGTCATGATTGTGCCTACTCCTGCCTGGGCAAAAGAGTGAGACCTTGTCTCTAAAAAAAAAAAAAAAGAAAGAAATTAGGTGAACAATTCAAACTTGTTGTTCCACAAACTTGTATCAATGTGTCAGGTAATATCTAAAGTAAAATTTTAAAATGAATGTTGCAAAGAAATTTTGAGAAAAATATAATTAAATGTATTTTAAATTTAAATTATTCATTCAGATCGTAGTTATTACAATTTAAGTAATTTAAGTTATATGTGGAAGGTTCTCCCATGTCATGCTCCTTCACATAAAGTCTCTTTCATCTTCCTTTCTCCCAATATTTTCTTCCTAATACAAGAGTTTGAGATCCCAATTTGAATGTAACTAGGTCTTTCTCATGGTTTGCTGGTACTCAGATAAATTCCTGGCATAGCAGGCACTCAGTAAATGTTCACTACTGTTGTTAAGATGAGGGGGAAAGTCAGGGTAGGAACGGTCTGGTGCAAATCAGACATGGAGATGTAATCCATTCCCTCTCTCTACTTCTAGAAGTAAGTTTTGCTTGAGTCCCCGCTCTTGCTTCTGTCAGGGCATTCAAACTATGTTTAACTTAGGATGGGAGTTCTCTAATGTCCCCAATGTCCCCTACTTATCTAGGACTACAATGCAACCTGCTTCATGTCTTAGATGGATTCCATAAGCTTTAAACATATAGGACCTGGACATAAATTGGGATCACTCTGGACCCAATGGCCATTCACTATAGAGGCAGATATCACAGAACAATTGAGAGGATTCTGCCCTACCTATCTTCCCTCTGTTCTCAGCTGAGCATGACAGAGTATAACCATGACATTTAGGGCAGATGAATTTTGGCAATAAAAGCTGATTCTAGGGATGATGTATAAAGTATATAACACCCGTCAAAGTCATATTAAATTTTTAAAACCTTGTTAACTCTGTGGTGAATGACCTCCTCAGCAACAAAACAGAGGCACTTTTTTTCTCAGAAAGTTGGCATAAATACATCCTAAGTCATATTGGAATAAGCATGTGATTATCTGAGGTAAGCATTCCAGGGAGGAGTACAAGGACAGAGGCAGTTGTGTGTATATGGCTTGCTTGAAAAACACCAAGGAAGCCAGTGTGGCTGGAATGGAGTAGACAAGGGAAAAATAAAAATAGATGAAGTCAGACAAGAGTGGAAGAAGAAAATGAAAGATCATGTAGGTTCTCTTAGGTTAGTGCAAGGACTTTTTCTTTGAGTGAGATAGGAAGCTCTTGGAGGATTTAGCTTATAGTTTAACTGGATCATGGTTGCTGCCACTGAAATGGGAAAAGTACCCTTGTCCCCCTCGCAGGGCATGTGATGGGGAGTGACTCACGTCTTCAGGGCCCCACTGCTCAAACCTCAAAGGGAGCATACAGATGGGCAGGTTATAGGGCTCCGACACCACGGCAGTGTCTGGGGTGGATGTTTACGGCTCCTGAAGCCCTGTGCTACCGTGTGCTCTTTTAGTTTTGCCTTCTATAGGTGGCATGTATTAACTAGCTCAATTAGACCCGTCTGCCTTTATAGAGGGCTTTCGGTATCCTGGGTTCTTGCCTTGGTGTACTGGAAGAATAGGATCGCACGTGGGCTTGGAGAATGAGTGCATGATTTTATTGAAGAGGAAATGGCTCTCAGGAAGTAGCTCTCAGGAAGTAGCTCTCAGCAGATGGGTGAGCCGGAAGAGAGATGGTTTTCCCCTGGAGTTGAGCCACTCAGTGTCCCTCCAACTGCCCCGGCCAAACTCTGCATCATTCTGCCAGCCTATGACCTGCTGGCAGACAGCCAACATCCTCTTGACATCCAGCAGCTGTGTCTTCTTCCATCGATGGGTTCCTCTCAACGTCCAGCTGCTTGTGTATCTACCTGTTAGGATCTCAGGGTTTTTATAGGCACAGGATGAGGGCATGGCAGACCAGGGTGGTTTTGGGAAATGCAACATTTGGGCACAAAGCCAGGAGTGCCTTTCCTCACCTAGGTCTGTGGGCACAGGCCAGGGACGGAGCTCTAGCCACGGACCTGCCCTTCTCCTCCTGGCACTTCCCTTTCCCCCTTCCGTATCATCATGTTGCAAATATACTGAAGCGGGCAAAGGGCAAAGGTGGGTGATCAATTTGAAAGTTACTGCAGTAATCTAGGTGGGAGATAATGGTGGCTTATATCAGTGTGGTAGCAGTAGATGTCTAAAAAGTGTCCAATTCAGGATATGTTTTGAAGGTAAAACCAAGAGGATTGCTAACAACTTGGACTTGGGGGAAAAGAAAAAGAAGCCCAGAATTTCTTCCAAGACTTTTGGCTAGATCAATTGGAGGAATGGAGATGCCATTTAAAAGGAAAGAAGAACAGATTAGGAGACAATTCAAGAATATTAGAAATTCTATTTTGGACATGGTAAATGGGAGGCACATATTAGACGGCAAGGTTTTCAAATCTACAATTCTTCTTTTCCCTACTTGGACTAAAACCCTATTCTGAATCTTAGCCCTGACCTAGCCCTGATTTAGCAGGCTAGATCCCTGACTCCCAATCTACACTTACTGGCTAAGGTCCTACTCCACACACAAAAAGATCACCTGGAACCAAGATGGTGCCAAAAACCAGATTCACAGTACTATTGCCAGAATCCAGAAAGTCCTGTTGCAACATCCTATCCACCAGACTTGATTCCCTTCAATACTAATTTTTTTTTATTTTTTTAAATTTTTACAGGGACAGAGTCTCGTTTTTTTGCCCGGACTGGTCTTGAACTCCCAGGCTCAAGCGATCCTCCTGTTTCGGCCTCCCAAAGTGCCAGGATTACAGGTGTGAGCCTCTTTTCATGGACTTTGACAATTCCCTGTAGACCAGATTATTTCCAATGCAGCTTTACCATGGAGTTAGTTATTATAAACAAATTCCTCCCGATTCTAGCTTTCTCCCTTCTCACTAGTAGGTCTCACTGCTATGCATGTTTCATATTTGAACTTCTGCAAATTAGGAATGAGTTTAATCATGTTGAGGGAAAACATAATAACGTATTATTAACTCTAAACCATCCTTCTGTCGTTTTATATGCTTTGTTTATATAGATGCTTTTTAAAGATGAAGTGAAAGAGAAAAAAAGATAAATTGTCAAGTGGTTTTACTAGTCATATTTCTTTCCAGTAGACTGTGTGATCCCTCAGACTTTGCATGACAAGACAATTTGCTGCAAAAACTGTCTTGTCAAATAATTCTAAAATGTGTCTATTAGTCCTGGAACACCTCTAAAACCTTTCTAAGAACTGTGAAAACTCTTTCATGCCCTTAATTCCAAACCTGGGGCTCCAATGTTTGAACACAAAATGGCACATGCAAAAGCACTTTCAAAGCATATTACATACATAGTAATAAGAATCCCAAATTTCTGATGTATATAACGAAGTGTTATATACACTTTTATATATGGAGGAGAGAGAATAGCAAACAGAAAGGCACCCCAAACCCTAATGCAAAGATCAATAAAAAGCCAGCCAGCAGCACATCAGGCTGCTGTAGTGGCTGCCCTCAAAGTCGTTGAGTCTCTTCATTAATTTTTGTATCATATTTATTCAATTGTCCTGTTTAGTTACTCAACAACCTGGGAAATAGCTCAAGAGGCATGAGTTACCCTTTCTTTGCTATTTGCTGCTGATGATTTAGAAAACCTAGGTTTTTTTTTTTAAAGTGAATATTTTTCAGTTATTCATTTCATCATTATGATATCTCTATCTCCCATTCCAGCACGGATCGGCTTTAGGCAGAAATAAGGTCATATTATGAAACGTCCACGAAACAGTTCTGTACCATCTGTGCAAAACTGTTTTTGTAAGAAATCTCTAAAATTTGATGACATTTCCTGCAGCTACAGAGAAGGCTGAAATACAAACAGTCCCTTTCCCGAAAACGAGGTGTTATTTCAATAACATTTCTCACCAGCACTTTTCTTTTTTGCAAAAGTGTTTGTTCTAGTGATGTGGACGTATGATGAACGTCAATGGTTAATAAGATAACCAGAAACTGTGAAAATCAAATGTGCCTGGAACGCATCAGTTTCACACTTTTAGTCCTTCGCTTGAGACTCAAGGGCCACATGACCAGGTAGGTCTTTCACCTCTGGAAACCGTTAAACATCCTTCCAGTAAGAAATAATCGTTAAGGGCAAGGTGTTAAAGAAATCCAGTGAGCTGTTCCCCGTGGGTCACCGCCTCCCTCCACCTGCCTCCACCCGCCTCCCGCGCACTGAACGCAAAAAGCTTAGACAGGAAGAGCGAGGCCAGAGGAGACTACAACTCCCAGCAGGCGTCGCGGCAGCGGGAGGCCACGCACGCGCAACCCAGGCCCCAGGACAAGTCTCGCCGCCGGCCTTCTGGGAGGGCAGGATGGCGGTGTCCGCGCTGCGGCTGGGAGCGGAAAAGCTCTTTGAAATGCCTGCGGTGCTGAGGCGACTGAGCCGCTGTCAGAGCACGTCCCAGGCCTTTGCTGAGGTGCTGCGGCTTCCGAAGCAGCAGCTGAGGAAGCTGCTGTACCCGCTGCAGGAAGTCGAGCGGTACCTCGCCCCCGACAGGAGGCAAGACCTTCACCTGCGGATTTTTAACCCGAGCCCCGAGGACATCGCGAGGGCGGAGAGCGTCTTCAAGGCCACTGAACATAACCGCATCGAATACGTCAGCTCCGCCATCCGTATGGACCACGCCCCGGACCTCCTCCGGCCTGAGGTGAGAGCGGCGATTCTCACGGTTTGCCTGCGCTCCGGCGTCCTAGCGCTAACTACTGCCTCTGCCATGGGGCTAGCGGGTGATTTTGCTGTTGTATTTTCTAGCTTTGTGTGGGCGCATATATTATTTTAACTAAATAAGGATATGCCGATGCTCCATGTACGTGGGGATACCCGAGAAATCCATCGTGGGTAGAAAATGCAGTCAGTACCCCATAAGCCCATCGTAAAGTCAAAAATCGTTAAGTCAACCCACTGTAAGCCAGAGACTGCCTGGATACAGTTTACATTATTTGGGAATGAATATAGAAGACTTAATACTTCAAAAGATTTTGAGACCCTAACTAAGCATTCAAAATAGTAACTTGTCTTTTTTTTTTTCCCCCTATTTAAATAAGTAGGGAAAACATGCCAGACAAATCAGACAGAATTTAGACAGTGAACCATAGGAAACGAATAAGTTTCACAAATGAGATGATCCTTATCAATAATTAACTTTCGCCAAAACTTCCTATCATGTGCAAAAATAATAATCTCTAGTGGCAATAATGTGGAAAGTTTTTTTTTTTTTTTTTTAGA